TGGGTGGGTGGATGGATGGATAGATGGATGGGTGGGTGAGTCCAGGCATAGATGGGTGGGTGGGTGGCTAGATGGATGGATGATGGATGGAAAGAGAAAAGGTTGGTGACCATCTGCTGGTTTTAATTCCTTATGGAGCTAGTTTGTGAACCTGAGCACATTTCACTGAATCACACTTCTAGGAACTTTTCCATTACCCTCTTGGAGAAGCAACACTCTGGATTGTTAGTCACTTGGAGGGCATTTCACAGGGCCCCTTTTTGCTTTGGTCCCCAGAATACCCCTCCACTAATGGTGCTGGTGAGAGGCGGGCTGTAGTCCCAGCAGGGAGCTGCCCACAAGCTTGTCCTCCGCTGTCACCTCAGAAATTCATGGCCTCTTGGTCAGAACAGAGGTGTGGAAAACCACCTCTGCCAACTCAGGGATTTCAGCACTGATGGACTCCCAGCAAGGGCTCTGTGGAGAAGGGCCATGAGACTCGTTCAATGTCTGATAAAATGCACTCATCCCACCAAGCTTCATTTGCCCTTTAAAGCTCACCCCTGCACCGGCACGGTCAACTGCTCTGTGACTGCATTTTCCAGCAGAAAGCATGCTTGCATCTCCACACCTGCAAACAGAGGGGAGAGGGTTTGTCTTTTCTTCCCATCTTAATTTCTGACCTGCAGTTCAGCTGCATGAGGTAAACAGGAAGCGAGGTCCCTCCTGACCCATGTCTGCGGGGTGTCCCTCTCTTTGCAAACTGTCCCTGCTTGGTTTTCCAGACCGAATGCAACCCCAGTGCCCTCTGGGCACCCTGTTCTCCTCCCTTCTATCTTGGCACCAAACATGATCTACCCCCATCAAAGGCAGGGCCACTGAGATGAAAACACAAGCAGACCTCTTCCTGCCGCAGCTTAACCCATGGCGAGGAGAGGAGAAAGTTACTCCGATAGGCAGAGTCAGCCGGGAGGCTTGGCGAGCATACGGCCCCGACGAGAGAGGTCGCCGTTCCTGTGAAAAGATTTCTTTTCATAAGTGCCCTGTCAATTACAATCCAAACTGATTGTCTGTTCTTTCTCAACCGGTATCTCCCTTCCAGAAAGTTCAGCAGTATACAGTCATCGTTCAGGCCACAGACATGGAAGGAAATCTCAACTACGGCCTCTCGAACACAGCCACAGCCATCATCACGGTGACGGACGTGAATGACAACCCGCCAGAATTCACCACCAGCACGGTGAGTCCCTCGAAGCCGCACGGCGACACGTGGTCCGTGCAGGGCAGGAACACACTGGCACGCGGTGCAGCCCCCCCTCTCCCTGCGGCTCTGTCTGACGGGCACTTGGCAGGTAGTGCGTAAGGAAGGCCCTGGCAGCAGGGGCAGCTGTGTGGAGCAGCTCCACTCCTGCTGCGCGCAGTGGGAGAGAGGCTGGGGCTCCGCCAGGGAGGGAGCCTGCGCGGAGGTCGGTTGCTGCCTGGGAGGCAACGCCGATGTCTGCAGGAGCTGACCGATACCATCCGGGCTGATGTCACTACCCCATTGGGAGGCCTGTGTGTGGTGTGTGGGTGGGGTCTGCTTGGGAGATGCCCAAATGGGGCCTTGGCAGGGCAGGTCCATCCCTGTGTGGAGTACTTGGCCGACCCTCTGGGACCGCTGTCAGCAGAAAGGGGGTCGTGACTGGGCCCCATACTGGCTGCTCAGGACCTGAACGGCCACTCAGCGAATGCTGTTGAAAGTCCACACGGGCCCCGAGTCCCCAATTTACAGGGGGCCAAACTCCTGGTGGGAACATGGTGGAGACGAGGCTGTGAGGTTCCCACTTCCCCTGGATTCCAGCAGGGAGGCTGCACTGCAGGGAGGGTCCCTCCCCTTGAAACCTGTAGAGGCCACCGCAGCCAGCAAACATTGGATGACCCCACTTTCCTGCTGCCCAATGGTCTGGGGAGGTCCTGGCCTTGGCTGTCACCCTGCTTACCACCCAGGACCCTTCATGGTGACTCCCTGGGTTCATGGGGCATGGCGCTGTGTCCCCAAACTGTCTTTTTGGGCCCCGCGTGGCAGTGCTGATGTCACAGGCATGTGACCCAACCCCCGGGGCCCCTCTAGAAAGGTTGAAGGTGCCCGGCTAGGACATGCAGAGGGGAGGGTCAGCGAAGACATGCAGAGCAGCCGCAGCCCCGAGATGCCGGGGTCTCAGGGTCCTCTCTGCTCCTACAACCACGTCACCCTCCTCTCCCCCCAGCCCAGGCCCCCACAGGGCTCTGTGTCAGTCATGATAGCAGTGAGAGCGGCAGTACCAGCCGCGTCTGCGGAGCTGCCCCTGGGTGCCAGCCTCTGATCCAGCCAACCCGACCAACCCAGTTATGGAGGATGATGCTGGGATCCGGGAGGCTAAGGGGGAGAGGAGAAGGGATGAGTCAGAAGGTAGGCCCTCCATCCCTGGCAGCCGTCCTCCCAGTGGGTGGGCCAGCTTGTTGAGATGGTGACTCGAGGCCAGCGCCCCTGGCCACAGCGCCTGCCTGCCCACATCTGGGCCTCCTGCAACCCAGGCCCTGGGCAGCTGCACTAGGCGGAGGCAGCTGTGAGCACACACCGCCATCTGGTGGGCAGATGGCAGATCGCCGCGGACAGCGCCAGCTCAGCCCCACTGCGGCTGGGATGGGGGGCTCCAGGCGCTCCCCCAGCCTCCTGGCAGTGAATCCCAGGCAGCAAGCGGCCGGGACAACCAGGAGCCTGAGGAGCATTTAACCGGGCAGAGCCCCAGGATGCAACAGCTCTCATGAAATTGGCCAGGAAGGCGTTCAGATGGTTTAGAAAACACCTTCTCTCTTTGCTTCAGTCTCTATCTGCTCTCTTCTGGCCAGTGGGCAATGAGCAGGAGAGGCTCAGGGCCAGGCTCCTGGGGAGTCTGGAAGAAGGGGAAGCAGCTGCGAACCCCGGGGCCCTGCAGAATAATAACGCCCAGGCCCAAGAGCTCAGCAGGGCTTTACCCCAACTCCAAGAAAGAGAAGGAAGTGATGGCAGGGAGCGGGAGGAGGAGGTGACTTCCCAGACTGTGTGAAGCAGGTGTCTCTGCCTCTCTTGGAGCCAGCATCCCTGGGGAACATACAAGCCAGCAGGATGTCCCTGACCTGCACATGCCTCTGACAAACGGCCAGTCGGGAGTCACACTGAGCCCCCCACAGAGTTCTGCATTTGGCTCAAGGTGACTTGAAGCACATTGCAGGGGAGAATTCCTGCCTGTGTGTCCCCGTGAACAAAAGGTGGGGATGGCCGGGCTCTGCCTCTGTCCCCGTGAACGAAAGGTGGGGATGGCCGGGTTCTGCCTCTGTGTCCCCGTGAACGAATGGTGGGGATGGCCGGGTTCTGCCTCTGTGTCCCCGTGAACGAAAGGTGGGGATGGCCGGGCTCTCCCTCTGTGTCTCCGTGAACGAAAGGTGGGGATGGCCGGGCTCTGCCTCTGTGTCCCCGTGAATGAAAGGTGGGGATGGCCGGGTTTTCCCTCTGTGTCCCCGTGATCGAAAGGTGGGGATGGCCGGGTTCTCTCTCTGTGTCCCCGTGAACGAAAGGTGGGGATGGCCGGGCTCTCCCTCTGTGTCCCCGTGACCGAAAGGTGGGGATGGCCGGGTTCTGCCTCTGTGTCCCCGTGAACGAAAGGTGGGGATGGCCCGGCTCTCCCTCTGTGTCCCCATGAACGAAAGGTGGGGATGGCCGGGTTCTCTGAGATGTTGCGGGGCAGAAGATAAACAAGGGGAATTGTGATTCTAAATCCCAGAAATCAAAGAATCCCATCATTCCATTGCAAGCCCTACCCCTCATCTCCAGGTCCCCTTCCAATACTCTGGGAGGCCAAGGCAGAGGCCCTACTAGACCTAATGGACCAGCCCCCAGCACTGACCGGCACTGACCAGCCCCCAGCACTGACCAGCACTAAGCAGCCCTTGGCACTCAGCCACCCTCGCCGCCACTGCTGACCAGCCACACCACCCTGGGTCTGCTCCTCCTGGGGCTGGGGCAGAGGGTTCCCATGGCATTTATTAGAGAGACGCATCTCTGTGCTTTTCCAGTGGCTGAGCACAGGCCACTGCAGCCTCAGGTGCCTCCCAGAGATGAGCCATTGTCCATCCTTTGTTCCAGGGGACCTCAGGCAGGCCCCAGGCCCCGGATCATGGGCAAGGCAACAGCATCTCTTGAGAATTATGCAGATATGTCTAGTTCTCAGCCAGCGTCCATGGCACTTCTCAGTCTAACAGAGGCCGGGAGATGATCTGCAGTCCGCTGCACTGGTCAGGCCAGTGGGTGACAGGCCAGTGGGTGGGTGATGGATGGATAGCCCTGGCAGAGAGGCTGTCCGTCCACCCTGGTGTGGCTTTTCTAGGTGACAGGGTCACATGGTCACAGGGAAGGGGTGTCCATTAATGCTCAGGATTAGGATGGCCCTTGGTGTGTCCTCCTGGAGACAGGTATGGGCTGGAGCCCCAGGACACTGTCCACGCCTCACCGTGGGATGGAGTAGGCAGAGGGGCCAGCAGGATGGTGAAGGCCAGCCACACTGCCGCACATGCCACCAGGCTATTTTTACCAAGCCTAATCAAGAACAATCAGCAGAAGCTACAGAGATCCAGGGGATTTACGTGATCCAATTCTGAGTCCTAAATGTTAATTAAAAGTTATTTTCCCGTCACTGGCTCTGAGCACGGCTGCACTGCCCACGTGAGGCTGAGTGGGGACCCTCGGCCCTCAGCACTCTCTCAGGTGAGCTAGGAGCTGGTGGCCACAGAGGACACAAGCTTCAGACCCTGCCCCAAGGCCCATTACACACCCACAGGTCCTCGAGTGAAGGTCTCAGGGACAGTCCCAGCCAGCACAGAGTGACCCTGGAGACCTGGTCTCGCAGGCCTTCCTCCAGCCCATCCTTCCTGCCCATGCACACACCCACAGGGAGGGCCCCGGGGGTCAGGAAGCCCAGCACTGACCCTCCTCTTGGTCCTTGCCAGCTGTGTAGCCAAGGGCAGATAGTCCAACCTCTCTGAGCAGCAGAATTTCATCCTGCCTAGAATTAATCTCATCTCCGGGTGTCGTCAGGAGCACTGCTGATCTGTTTGAAAGTTTAACACTTCAGTGATACCAGCTCGCTCTAAAAATGCCACAGTGGTGCCCCAGACCCCCGTCCCAGGGGCACAGAGCTGGGCAGTGAGCAGATGAGGCTGCAGCTTTGACAGACCTGGCGTCCTGACCCGCCCGTCTCAGCCTTTCACAGGTGAGGGGCTTGCAGCAATGTCACCAAAACCTTCTCAGCCCAGCTTCCCCAGCTGTTAAAAGAAGAGGGAGGTGGAAATGATCAAGGTATATCATTGTTGAGTTTAAAATGCATACATGATACGACACATTTTGCTTTTACTGTATGTTTTTTGTGAAGGATCGATTCCCCATCCCAAGGCAAGGGTGAATAAAACCAGGCTACGTATTTGTTAAATAAAGAAGGAAGGAAGTGGAGGTGGTCCCCCGCAGGGTCTGCAAGGGCAGGGTGAGCAGATGCCTAGCGCCCAGGATGCGCCTGACTGTCCAGTGCCTCATTACCACCGTTGATGTGTAAATACAGATTGTTCTCTCAACGGGTTAAAAATGGCTGTGCCAGGCAGGGCGCAGTGGCTCACACTTGTAATCCCAGCACTTTGGGAGGCCAAGGCGGGCGAATCACAAGGTCAGGAGTTCAAGACCAGCCTGGCCAACATGGTGAAACCCCATCTCTACTAAAAATACAAAAATTAGCTGGACATGGTGGTGGGTGCCTGTAACCCCGGCTACTCAGGATGCTGAGGCAGGAGAATCACTTGAACCCAAGAGGCAGAGATTGCAGTGAGGTAAGATAACGCCACTGCACTCCAGCCTGGGCGACACAGCGAAACTCCATCCAAAAACAGGGGGGTTTTGCCAGAGGCAGGGGTGTCAGCTGAATTCAGGAGCCCTGGGATCTGTGGCTCTGTGGCCCCCATGTTGTTGAGATCCTTCTGGAAGCTCCTGCCCCACGCTGCCCAAGGATGCACCTGCAGTACTTCCTCGGGAGTGACCCTCCTGGCCAGGTAGAAGGGCAGCCCCAGCTCTGCAGGTTAGGTGGCCTCCTGGCCAGCATCAGTGCCTTCCAGGGGACTGGCTGGGCTGGCCCGGTGGCTCTCACCCACAGATCCCCGGCCCCTCCAGCCTGGCAGCGTGCCCCCTCTGGCCAAGCCCTGTGA